TCAGAGATGATATGATTCTGACATGCATTCCAAAAAATCAAAAATGTGTCATTTTTTTGTTATCATTCATTATTGATGAATGATACACTATATCAAATACAAAATCTACATATACTACTAATCCATTATCGAACTGAAGTTGGTGAAATAATTATTTTTACAGAATATCACAAGGTCAGAAATTAATCCATTAATTTTCTTGCTATAATATGAAGTGCACAGCAAATTTATTAGCAAATTTATTCATTTTTTCTGGTTGGAGTTTATTTTGAAACAAATCAATAGGACTTGTATTCACATTTGCTTATTAAAAACAGGTTTAAAGCCAAAAAAAAAAAAAAAACCCTACCCACCCATATTTTAGGAAAAATCAAAAGTTTATTTAATTAGGTAAATAAGTTATTTCTATGCAAATTAGCTGTGTTAATTATTTTATTAATCCTGATGATTGCCTAAGTAATCATGCTGAAACTACTTATGTAAATTATTTTGTGTACAAGGCATGATGGTGATGTTGAGTAAATATTAATAACTGTGGAGGTCATAAATGGGGAAAAAAAAAACATACATAAAACCACATGCTTTCTTTGGCCAAATGTGATGTACGATGTAACAGTCTTGTCTAAATACCCACTGAAAGCCTTAATTGTTCTCCTCATTCTCGATAAGATGACACAAGAAATTAGGAATCGCTATCTTTTCACTGGGGTGGCAAATCTCTGATGCATTCGTTTCGCGCATAATACGACTAATTCTGTTTACTATCGAGTAAACTGTATGTGACAGCAAATCTCTTGGTAATTGTCACAAAAAGTCAGAAGGTTATCAACCTCCAGGTAAAGTACTTTAGTACTGACAGGTCTATGAATCTGTGCGTGGACTGTGACGTCAGTATCTGGCGAATGAAAGCTTTTTTTAACTACGATAACCTTAAAAAGTTAATGGGTTGTAACATTTGCATAACAAAATAATTAAATCAGACATTTATGTAATTTTCAAAAGAAATTAGAGATTTATATCCAATGATTTCAAAGAATTTATAGGTATACATGTGTCATGCAACTTTGATATCTGTATACAGTGATATGCGATAAAGATTCTAATCTGTGTATGCGTCAATCAAACATATTTCCAACCAATGGAATCACAGCGAATAATTGTACCAGGGGTAAAAGTTCAATTGCAGAAAGGAGTGAGATTATCACTGTAATACAAAATGCAATAAGCATTATCTACGTAATACAACTGCACTAATGTTTTGTGAATATGCAAGGACACTAGTAAAACAGCCCAACCCTAACCAGTCTGTCCAAAGAATCACTCGTTCGCCGTTGTGTGATTACATCTCAATTTGTGTTAATTAAGCCAATCGCTGACAAAATTTGGCTGAATTCGTCCCTTTTGTGTGGAAAAATTGCTGTCACTGATTGGCTCCCGAGTTGGATGATGGTTTAGTTTTCAAAAACCTCAGGAAAAAAAATTTTCTTTTGAGAATTATCATCCATGTTTAATATAATTATATATACATGACAGGGTTTATTAGGGTTACATCAATGTAATGCATCATGGGAATACAAACTCCTTAGATTATAAATTTCATAATAAAGTTCAAATAGTATTCATCAAATCTTTCAGTGCCAGGAGACCCCGTCATTTCACACTAACATAGCTGCGATCAATAAACTAAAACCTATATATTCTCCAGATCTCCTAGACAATTTTTAAAAACAAATTGGATCAAGATCAATAGCAGCACATTTTTTGAAATTGAAATTTTTTTCTTGAGAGATATCCCATTAAGCAGCCAATTTACGAAACCAGTCTCAACTTAGATCTGCCCTCAAGATATTGAAACTGGTGGGAGAATTACATTATTTTAGATGCAATTTACTTTGCTGAAGTGTACAATTTAGGTCAAGGTGTGCAATTTATTTTTCCTGAATGGTGCAAGAATCCCAATGGAAATGGATTTTATTTGTGCTGACACAAATAACAGATGCATGTTTTTCATTTGATGTGCACCCTCAGAGTGTGTCCAACTGCTGGTTTGACGCCCTCTGCACACAAAAGACAAACAACTGACTAAATATTTAGTTCACTCATACATGTAACACATAGAAGGGCACTTCCTCATAACTCATTATTTTAATACCTTTATTCTGATTTTAGCATCATCACAGAAAACTGCGTGTGCGATCAAATTACATATTACTGTTATTTTCCCTTTAAATTATAACCAAATCTCAGAAAACCAGTCGAAATGGGAAGGGAATAAAACATCATAATTTGTGACTGAAATTTCATTTAATTTGATTGCGATGGTAAATCTAATTATTGTTCAAATACAGACTTGCTGAAGATTGAAAACAAATTTGCAGTTTGTCGGCCATTTTGTTAATACAGTGTATTTCACAATAGTATTTTGTTTCAGATTGATTGCATAAAGACAGCATAACAATTGATTTATGTTTTGTTCATTTGCATATGTAAAGATATTTATTTCCAGCGCTCCCGCTGCTATCCAATTCGAAAAAAGCTCAATTTATATTATGTCGTGATTTTATTTGACATATTAAAGTCTTGTAATTGGTTAAAAGACGAAATTAAATTATTGAATAATTAATTTTGAATGACAGCAAAGTAGTACCTGTGTCGTGTAAGAATTTGCAAAAGGTGTCCAGCAGACCAGTCACCACTCTAGGCAGGGAAATTAAAAACACAAAAGAATACCATTCCTGTTTGTAACCTTGGTAACTAAGGCAACCATGATGTAACTTAATTTAAAGGACAAGTCAATGCTGTAATTATGTTAGTACACATGTGTAGGTGGAATGCACCCTGACAATAGGAGAAAACAGATAATTATTTATACATGTAGATCTCAAACTATTGCTACTTGCTGTACATCGGTACTCCCACAGCGCATCCCACTTTTTACATAACTTCCTGGTGTAACTGTGCACTGTTATATTGCCTGTGTAAGTAGTGATGTAATCTTTCTACAGTTCACCATTCACCAGGGAGTCCCCCCGAAGTACACAATGGTTCATTTATTGACCTTTTGAGCTGAGCATGAATCGCTCGCCATGTGGGTTTTTAATTCCAATTCACTAAGTGAATGGCCCAAAGAAAGTAAAACTAATTTCTAGTCACAACTCACAACATTTTCATACTCGCACATATTGAAATAAAAAATAATAATGAAAAAATTTATTCTGCTATTCTAATTTCATTGAGACAAAAAGTACCACAGAGAACTTTCACATATTCTCAACAACAAAAATCCTGTCTGGTAAATATCACTAGAGAGGGAAAATACAGATTTATGCTTAAATAGATAAGTGTCTATTTTACCAGTTCGTAACCTTTCTCTGTTATTAATGATGGTACGTTAGTCTATTCTCAGAGGTCGTGTACAGCATGCTAAACCACCCTGCCTTGTTAGTGTACCACTGTGTAAAAACAAACAATTCCTCAAATACCAGTATTTGCGATATTTGAGTGATGACAGGTCACAGTATACTGACAGATAAACCAGGTAATCTACATCTATAAAATGATATATATATTGTATATTTTCTAAAATTATTCCTAAATTTTGGAATATGTATTGTTTTCAGGAACATTTTTGGTGATACATGTATAATACTAACCCTTGTTCCTCCATCAGCTCCTGCAGTTCAATACATTTCAGCTCCACTTTCCTCTTCCGCTCATGGTCCAATATCTCCTGGTTTGGCTTCTTCAACATCGCTTGGTCCAATTTCTGTAATTCCTCTTCTGACTTGTAGTCTATTTTGTCTTTGTGCTTTTTGACGAACGACATATTCCGTGTCACGTAGCCGTTCGTCCCGCTGCCCCGCGGCGTGGTCAGACCAATACCGTTGTACATGACTGATGGCAGAAGACAGCCGACTCGAGATCAGCGTACAACTAGAATAAAAGAGAATTAAACGTTGTTCAATACTTGTGCGTAGAAACAAGCTGAGCTAGAGGGGCTCAACATTTAAATGGATGAATATAACATTAGAGAAAATAACCACAAAGCTAGGGAGTCCAGCTGTCAATCTTACAACCACACATCATGCATAAAAGAATTGATCACAGTTTCATCCCAATTCGTCCGTTAAATAAAGCACTCGCTATTTGAGTAATACAGTTTAGAAATAATTTCCAAGAAAATCAATATTATTACATTATTTCTGCAGGCACATCAGAAAGTATAGCTACACTGAATAACATTTGAAACGTAATGTTTATTTTGTGTTCTTTATATAGATTTTAACAATTCTCCAGCAGTTCACACATTTAGGTTTAAATGAGTGACCTACATGAACATGTTCATACCACTGCAATTATTCATCGTTTTAAATACACAACATGTTACACTGAATTCTTGGCATATTTCATTTCAATAGAATCTGTTTGTTATTTAGTGGTGAACAGACAATTGATCATTTAGTCAATACGACATTACAGAGCAGAATTTCTTCCTAGTATATGACTAGTTTGTTTCTTACAAATTTTAAATAACGATCTATCATAAAATATAGGAAATTTGTAAATTTATTGACAATGAGACATCTCTATCAAGTCAGCCCAGAATGGAGAAATTATTATAATGTGTGCAGTTTGAAATCGAAATAAATAAATACAAATTATTCAAAACTGTTGACTTAACTTAAACATTACTTAAATACAATGATTTTAAAATGTAAATCAAAATATTTTATTTTTATGTACATGAACTAAATAACTGATAACTTGTGACCATGGAAAAACATATGTCGTAACAACTGACCACGTACAATGTACCAAAACGATAACTGCAGAGTTAAATAATAATTTGCTAATTGGCATAATTTTCATAATCAAATTAAAATAAAAACCACTACCAATGATAGTAGTTGATTCTATTTGTTTGCGCATCACGTTTGGGCGCCAATTCCATCAAAATTTCATATCACATTTTCATTCAATGCTCATATTACAAATCATATAAAATTCATTAGAAAAAAAATAAAATGTTCATAGATACATGTATAAATAACCAATAACGTGCTAGGGGTTGTTTTCAAAAAAATATATAAACACCAACTCAGACATATTATATTTTATTCATTCATTCATTCATTCTATCTACAAATAACCTAAAACATGGGCTTGTGTGCGGTTACAGGAATTTAAAGGTGCTTTATTTATTACTGTAAAATCTGTATTAGAAACAGTGTCTTCTATTAAAATGGTACAATCATGCAACAGAATGGATGCGGCTTCTATTAGAGAACCTACACATATGAGAAATGATGAATTTTTGGTTCTCATTTCTAATACAGATTTGACGGTACTGGTAGCATAAATACAACTTTATTTCATCAAAACTCCCACACTACATAATATTTTTATTGTCATTTCAATTTATTATTCGTAAAGGTGTTTATTCGAGTATGGGGAATTAGGGGTGTGGTTACAGATTATGCGGATGTATTATTGTGTAAATAAAACTTGACTTCAGTCAAGCTTACCATCAACTATGACCAAAATTCCAAATTTGTTTTTTCTTTTTTATGACGTGGGCCACACAAAGAAAAAACAATTTCTATTCACTTTATAATGACCACAAGCTATAAAAGTTGACAATGCTGGTTGGTTAGATGCTGTTAAAGTTTATTGATTGCATGCATGTATGAGTGTATTAATGTAAACAGCAGTAGGGAAACCAAAAGTAAATTACTGATCAGTAACCTTTGTCATTCATAAGTTGAGATGAAGTTCAGTAATGGTTAAGCGGGAAATATTTGACGATTGAGTACATAGACATAAGTGACCTTTGTTGATAGCATGACAGAAAAGGTTTAGTGAAACTTCACCGGCATTCAAGACGACACTTGACCGAAATCACGAGTGAACGCAACAAAATCACCTTCACATTTATATACATTTGTATCAGGGAGTTTCTAACAAAACCATTAATGCTATTCAACTAAATGAAAAATGCCAGTCAGAGGCACATGCTTTTTAGTGTTTATTGCTATGATGGACGTCGATGGGTAGTCAATTGCACGAGCAGCTATAGTACAACATCCACAATCGTTTTTTTGTGTGAATATCACATGACCAAAGGCAATATATTACCTTGTAAATGATTCCTATTGTTATGAATAAATTAAATAAATTTCAACGACTGCTAAATTCCAGGGTCTAAATGCTGGTACATGTATTTGGATCACATCATACAAATATACCGGTACACCTGAATGAAAATCACTTAAAGGAAACATCAATGCAAACAACATAATGACCCCTAAAGAAAAAGCTCCACAAATGTAGGAGAATGTAATTTACAGTTTTTTTATATCACTTTTCATTCTCTAGATATTCAACTTTTCATTAGTATTATTAGTCAGCCATCTTGATTTTCAAGCAAAGGATTGTGGGTAAAGTATGACATCATAGAATCTGTTGTCAGAAATTGAGAAAATGATTTCATCTACTAGAAACTGGAGTTGTCTATGCATACATGACAAAGAATGCAACTCTGATTCAGTCACTGGTTGGCCACATCTACAGTTGTCACTATAGAGCCAGTGGAAGAGGAATTTACTTCAGGTAAAAAATTATACTTCACTTCATTTCAATGAAGCTACACTTATTCTGTCATCTTCTTAATCAAGAATTTATAATCTAAGGGTATGCATATTTCATATGTACATGTACATGTATTTACGACGTGATGCGATGAAGATCGTATTCTATTTATACATCAATACCAATCAAGTATTTCTAACCAATGTTATCACAGAACACAGTGGATACTTGGAAAGGTTGATTGGGAAAACAGAAATGAGGCCAAGAGAAAAAATAACTGGTTCTTTATAACCCTACATGTACATTTGTACAATGTACCTTCTCAGTACCCTATTTTAACTGCACAACCCTAAATTTGCTTGGCCGTACTCGAGAAAACGTCAATAAATTATTCCAGGCTACATGAAAGAGATTTGCAAAACTGGTTAAACATAAGGAACTTTAAACATAATTTATGATACTCGCATCTACAAAACATATGTAAGAAAAATAAATAAAACACAGTTATACCAAAGTAAAAATATACAGAAAGATGAAAAAAAAAATTCTGATCCTGTTACAGAAACCACTAACTTTTTTCATTGGCCTGAGTAAGATTATCGCCGTATTGAAAAAAACAAAAAATGCACGCTATATACCGATAAAAGCAAGGACACTAGAAAAACATTCCAAGACAAACACTAACGAGTTCTTTCACAGACTCATTAGTATTAGTTTATGTTTGTCATGCAGATTTGTGATGATCTCGCAAGACTCTTCTTCTCGTGAGATCTTCTTCTCATATCACACTTCATGCTTTATCATATCTCAGAAATCCGTGATTTAATATTTATAATAATCCCTACCATTTTTTTTAATAACAGAAAACGATCAAAAATGTTACAAGGAAGTAAACGATTTAAACTTGCGTGACAAGATTCCTTGACCAGCTGTTTCAGAAAACATTCAATGCTTAAGATTTAGATTTGGTTTCTAATTTCTCTTGGATGTAGCTTTAGTCCAATTATAGCACAATACACGTTTCCAACAAAGCCTATTTCCATCCATTTTGCGACAACACCAAGAAGTTTCTAATTTCATCATTTTGTGCATTTGAGTTTGGCGTTTAATAATCAACAATCTTTTTCACTACATTCATGTCGATCGAAGGAATAAATTTGCAGACATGACGGTGAAGCACTAATTAATTTGGTTTTATAGAAACTAATTCAAGTGACATAGCAATGTGACAATGTGTAGTGATTGAAATGCTGAATTCATTATAAAACATAAAATGAAGCAATTAATCTTCATAAAATGTGAAAGCTTGACTCTAAATATTAAACAAATATTTCTTTTGACGTACAAGATGAATAGTTTGGGGAATGACAGTGAAGAAGAAAGACGTTACAAACCCACACATACATGATGTAGATCCCATTCTGTGTCGTTAATTAAGTATGAACACCCTGACTGCTAACACATTTTTGATACAGGATTTTCTTGAAATGTTGCTAAATTATTTTTTCAACTACTAATCAAAAGTTTCAAGAAAACATGGAGTATATAAACTCATTATTATAAACCAGGATTGCATATTAAATAATTTCAAAAGGACCACTACAAAAGTAGGAATTCACGCTGATTATAATCCATAGAAATAATTTGGGTACGATCACTGTTTATATGCTGTTTATCATTATCATTTGATGAAACCCATCACTTCATATGGTGCTTCACAATTTCCCACATTTTACTATAAAAAGACAAATAAACGTTGTTATGCAGCAAGTTTGAAATTATGTGTAAACAAACAATATATTTTACATACTGTAAAACACTTTATTTTTGCTTAGAATTAATTTTCGCTATTTTCGCTAAAGGAATGATTCAGTCAAAATATAATCCAGCGAATATACCTTTTTCCCTATACTTTACATTCAACCTGTCAAAAACCTGTGAAAATTAATTCCATACAAAACACCCAAAAAGTTTTTTCAACGAAAATTAATTCCAGCTAAAATGAAGTATTTTACAGTCAACAGTATACGTACAGGGGACTTGTGTCAAACACAACACATCACAGCAATTCCTAATGCTTTAAAACAGATTTTTTTACAATGCTGTTTTATGATCGTTCTCTTAGTTGTCACAAATTATATGGACATTCTGATTGATAACAATTTATTTTTCATGATTTAATGCTTTTAGATAGATTACCATGAAAACGGTTCCAAAATGACAATTTTTTCCAAGAAATATAAATTTTGTGTCAGGTAAAAATAACGAAAAGCTGTTGACAGGTCCTACGGTAATCAATAATTTAGCAGCACTTTTGAAAAAAAAAATGTTCGCAATTATTTATA